AGAGTAAAGCTCTCTCTACACTGTCCCCCATGAAACAGTCGCAGGACAGGGACAGCATGGGGTTAGATAAAGAGTAAAGCCTCCTCTACACTGTCCCCCACAAACACTCCCAGGACAGGGACAGCACAGGGTTAGATACAGGGTAAAGCTCCCTCTACACTGTCCCCATCAAACACCCCTAGGACAGGGACATAAGGGGGTCTGCATCAAATGTAGGAGCCCACCTCAGAGAATGGAAGAACGGGTACAATCCAGGCCATTCTGCTTGGTACTGGTTTGTGGGAGGTTTTCACCATCTGGGATTGAGTTTGTGATTTTGTCGGTGGAGAGCGATGTACCAATCAGCCCCCAGCTCCTGTCCCATTGTTTCTGAGCCTCTGGAGGAAATGGCAAAGTCCTAGACAGGAAAGGAGTGATTCAGCCAGAGCTCTGATCCTTCTCAATACCTCTGAAAAAAAATCATCAGGCAGCAGGTAAAAATAATCATTTATTAATGACAATACACTATATACATTCTTGATATACAGCACGATAAAGCTACGTCTTGTAGCAATCTTCCATCATTCACAGAATTTTACAGCACATGTGCAGGCCCTTCGGCCCATTCTGCCTGTACCCGCTCTTTTAAAGAGCTAACTTTTAATTGCCTTCCAGCTGCCCACAGTTCCTGCCTATTGCCCCCCTTTCTAGTATCTCCCTGATCTCCCCCTCCGACAACCCTTTTAAAAGTTCCCTTCCCCTGAACCTATCCTGCTCCAAGGGAGTGATGCCAGTTTCTCCCTGGTCTTTCTCAGCATGAACTGTGACCAACTCACCCCCAGGAAATCTCCTTCCTGTTTGTACCTCTCTCTCTCTCTCTCCAAGGGCTCTATCTCCTTCCGAAAGTGTATCGGGGGTGGTGGGGGTGTCGTGGAGTTGGGGACTCCAGAACTGGACACATGGAAGGGAGAATATCTGCATCGTCACCTTGTTTCCAATCCTCTTTCTTCACCCCCACCCAGCTCCACTGTCCATTCCATTCTCGAGGAACCAGTGTGCAAGAGCAGATGTGCTGTTCGACTGTAGCAGCGTTGCAGTCAGGCTGAGTGAGTGTTTAGTGGATTGCAAGAACAGCTCTCCCCCTGCCTGGAATTACCCCTCTACAGGCTCACTTGCAGTGTGCCTCCAATCCTCCCCAACGCAGCTTCCTGCCCCTCTACCCACCATTTTACACGCACAGCCAGCCAAGATTCAGCTCCCTCCAGGGATGGGGCCACGGGATCCTCCTGTGCCCTCGGCTGCTCGGCTAATGGGGGGGCATCATGGGAAGGTGGAAGGCACGGGGGCTGCGGTACAGGTGCAAATATCTGGTGAGCATAGGCCAACGCAGTCCTTGTCCACGTTCCTATCCAGCCCCCAAGTCCCAAACTCTCCAACGCCTCCTACGCTCATCCCTCGAACAGCAGATGGCCACAAATGTTAGCGTCACACAGAATCCTGTTGTATATTGATCTTCTCTATCTCTGTAACGAAAGGAGACCGAGGTTACTTGCTATCTGTTGGCGCAGTCGCATCCTGGAGCTATGTCTGTTGTTTTCAATCTCCTCACTTGAGGAAGATTAGACGGACTCATGAAATAAAACAAAGCGAAAGAACTGCGGACGTTGTAAATCAGGAACAAAAACAGAGATTGCTGGAAAAAGCTCAGCATCTGTGGAGAGAGATCAGAGTTGACGTTTCGGGTTCTGAAGAAGGGTCATTTTGACCCGAAACGTTAACTCTGATTTCGTTCCACAGACCTGTCGAGATTTTTCCAGCAATTTCGTTTTTTGTTGTAGACTGACATGTTGTCATTCACAGCAACAGAAAGAGGCCGACCATGACTGTACCTGACTACATTCATTCCATTTTCCAGCTCTTGGTGTGAAGCCCTGGAGGCTCCCAAGTGAATACCTCAATAAAAAATACTGCTGAAACATTACAAGAGTTTCTGATCCAACGAGACTTTTTAGGCAGTGACCACAACCCTCTGGGTGAAAACATTTCTCCACAGCCCCAGGTAGATAGAATAGTGAAGAAAGTGTCTAGTTTGCTTGCCTTTAATGGACATTGCATTGAGTATAAGAGTTGGGAGGCCATATTTCAGGACATTGGTTAGGCCATGTTTGGAAAACTGCGTTCAATTCTGGTCTCCCTGCTACAGGAAGGATGTTGTGAAACTCGAAAGGGTTCAGAAAAGATTTACAAGGATGTTGCCAGGGTTGGAGGGTTTGAGCTATAGGGAGACGCTGAATAGGCTGGGGCTATTTGCGGAGGCTGAGGGGTGACCAAGTAGAGGTTTATAAAATCATGAGGGGCAGGGATAGGACGAATAGCCAAGATCTTTTCCCCAGGGTGGGGGAGCCCAAAACTAGAGGGGATGAGTTTAGGGTGTGAGGGGAATAATTTAAAAGAGACCGAAGAGGTAGCCGCATTAAAAGTAATGCAGGGTGTGATGCGTGTATGGAATGAGCTGCCAGAGAAAGTGGTGGAGGCTGGTACAATTACACCATTTAACAGGCATCTGGATGGGTATATGAGTGGGTGGGGTTTGCAGGGATATAGGCCAAATGCTGGCAAACAGGACTAGATTTATTTAGGATATCTGGTCGTTGTGGACGAGTTGGACCGGGGGGTCTGTTTCCATGCTGTTTGGCTCTATGACTATGACTCAATGACACAGCTCTCCTCTCAGGTTTCTGTCTCATTCCTTACATCTATGGTCCCCTGACTCCTCTACTAAAGGAAAAAGTGCCTCTCTATCTGAAATAGCTCCACAGAGGTCAGTTACCTGTCACCCAGTCACCCTTTATTTAAAGGTGTGTAATACCTCCCAGCTCTCAGAGTGAACAGAACCTCTGATAGTCTAAATCTGCCTATACATATGTCTCCTTGAAATTTCACATCTCCATGCATGTGGCTTGCAATATCTGTGTGTTGTTGGCACACTGCACCAAACAGCTCTCTATGCCAGGGTTTCCCACTCAGTGCCACATTCCCCAAACAAAACGCAAACCCAAAACCGTTTCCACGGTGACTTACCATTGGGCATGGCCTCTGGGAATTTCTGATCGAGGGACATGTCGGAATTTCCAAACCCTGCAAACGACAAGAAACATGAACCCGTTTCAGATGAGAAACTGCAAAACCTACTTTGATCTATCAGGTAAAATAAGCGCACATCTGAAAGTCACATTACTACAAGAGCAGGCCAGGGGCTGGGAATCCTGCAGCGAGTAACTCCCCTCCTGACTTCCCAAAGCCTGTTCCACCATCTCCAAGGCACAAGTTAGGAGTGGGATGGAATACTCCCCACTTGCCCCTGGATGGGGGCAGCCCCAACAACACTCAAGAAGCTCGACACCATCCAGGACAAAGCAGTCCCCACTTGATTGGCACCACATCCACAAATGTCCCACTCCCTCCCCCACCGACGCTCAGTAGGCAGCAGTGTGTACCATCTACAAGATGCACTGCAGAAATTCACCGAAGATACAAAGACAGCACCTTCCAAACCCGCAATGCTATTGGGGAAGGAATTACAGGATTTTGACCCAGTAGTACTGAAGGGCTTCCATCTAGAAGGACAAGGGCAGCAGATATCCCCCTCCCTATGGTCTTCGATGAACCTGATGCCAATCAGGCACCATTTCTGAGGCGAGCTCTCAATTCCAAATGTAGCAGAATTCAAGTTCTCCAGAGCCCCAGGCAGGAGGTGAACGTTTGTCCCCGTGAGTGAATGTAGAACCGGGGTAGAGGGGGGGAACACAGCTACCAGGAGCAGGGTCAGGTCATTTTGGACTAAACTGAGAAGGGCTACAATCGCTGAGTCAGTTCAGAGACAGGGAGGGAGAGGTTTCTAGCAATTAGCAATATCTGCGGAGGACGGGGATAGTGTGGGGAAGTGGCTTTGAGGAGCGGATCAGCCGTGATCTTGTTGAATGGTGGAGCAGATCCGATGGGCTTAATGGCCTACTGATGCCCCAATTTCCCAAGTACCCGATGGAACCGAG